ATGGACTTCTGCTGCAGCTTTTGCTGCTTTTCTTTGGTGGAGCCGCGTACTGGGTAACACATATTTTTTATTTTTTTCTTTTTGTTTTTTTATTTTTTTCGGTTTCTTTTTTTTTTTCTGGTGCTGCTGGTGCTGGGTTCTTGTTCTCTAGCTAAGTGGTGTTCAGTTCTCTGCATTTGTTGTTTTTTGGTGGTTTTCTGTGTAAATGTTTGTTTAAATGTTTGCTTAAATAAATAAATAAATACACATTTATTTATTTATTTATTTATTTATTTATTTATTTATTTATTTTATTTGTTTAGGGTTTCGTTCGGCTATGTGCTGGCTGTTGTTTGTGTATTTAATGTTGGTGTATTTCTTTGTCTGCAGGTTGTCTTCGTTTTCTTTTTCTTTATTTTTAAATAGCAGTGCTTATATGCGGTGTATGTACACCTCACGGGGTTTAATAAATAACATTGGCTTTGCTATTATATGTGTTTTTTGTTTCTGTTTTTATCGTCTGTTGATTTTTATTGTTTTTTTTTCTGTATTTGTTTGTTGTATTAATTATTATTTATTATTACATTATTATTCTTTGTTTTAAAATAATATTATAATAATATATTATAATAATATATTGTAATCATACATTATACGAATATATTATGATTATATATTATAATAAAAACAATATACAACAATAAAATATATTATTATAATATATTATTATAATATATTATATGATTAAAATATAATATTGTTTTTGTGTTGTTTATACTTATGCAGATCCACCCCCAAAGGAGCGTCTCGATCGGTACTGGTTAAACTCACGTGGGTTCTCTTCTTCTTCAGTTTTATATATTCTTTTTTATTTATTATTATTTTTTTAATTTTATTATAAATATATATTTATATTACAGTCTGCAGGTTTTACTTCTTTTGTTTTATTTTTATTATTTTGTTGATATAACAATTTATGTGTTGTATTGATTGCGGCTTTATCTCTTTTCCTGTCTTAAAGCACTCACTATATATGCATAATATAATAATAATATATTACATATTATATATGCAT